AACGATGTTGTTCTATTTCTCTGTGAAATCTGTCCAGCCCAACTGATACTTGACTTTGTTCTATCTACTCTGACTATTTCTCTCTGTGAAATCTGTCCAGCCCAACTGATACTTGACTTTGTTCTATCTACTCTGACTATTTCTCTCTGTGAAATCTGTCCAGCCCAACTGATACTTGACTTTGTTCTATCTACTCTGACTATTACTCTCTGTGAAATCTGTCCAGCCCAACTGATACTTGACTTTGTTCTATCTACTCTGACTATTTCTCTGTGAAATCTGTCCAGTCCAACTGATACTTGACGTTGTTCTATCTACTCTGACTGTTACTCTCTGTGAAATCTGTCCAGCCCAACTGATACTTGACTTTGTTCTATCTACTCTGACTATTACTCTCTGTGAAATCTGTCCAGTCCCCAGAGTAGATAGAACAAAGTCAAGTATCAGTTACTATTTCTCTCTGTGAAATCTGTCCAGCCCAACTGATACTTGTAGAACAAAGTCAAGTATCAGTTGGACTGGACAGATTTCACAGAGAAATAGTCAGAGTAGATAGAACAAAGTCAAGTATCAGTTGGGCTGGACAGATTTCACAGAGAAATAGTCAGAGTAGATAGAACAAAGTCCTAATTTATCTTATTTTTAACTTTCTTCTATGTACAGTAACTTTGTATCGAGTATTTTTCCTAGCCCAGTTTATATCTATAGTGCTTGTTATTAATTATTTTGATATTTCATACGTGTAATTCATTCAGATGGTTAAAAGTTGTTATTTTTATGTTTACATTTTGTTTTAGGAAGCAGAAAAGAAAAATCCAGATTTGCTTAAGTTTGGTGACAAAATGCCAAATTTGGAAGAAGCCACGAAGTAGGTCACTTTATCGGTTATGTGATATAATTAACAAAAATGTGCTGCACGTGTCTCTCTATATGTTATAACCAACAAGAAAAGTTTATTAAATACATTAATTTAATGAGCATTCTTTTTCTCTACATGACTTCTTACATAAATGCTATTTTTATAACTCTTGCATGCATTGTTCTAACATAGCACTTCTACAAAGTTGTTCAGTTACCTGTGTTATCGACACTTAATACTATCAAGTAACAATGTAGGAAGTTTTCAAGTTCCTTTTTATGATGATTTTCATTCTAGACTATCAATTGATAATCTAAAGACAGAGATCAACAACCTCAGAGACAAAGTTACTAAAGTATCTAAACAGGTTATGAACGCTGACGTTCAAATAAGAGAACAAATGGAAGAATTCCTAAAGGTGAGTGTTGAACACTTAGTGCCTTTTTACATCAACATTAGGAAGGCACTAAGTGTTCAACATATTTACATCAACATTAGGTATGTTGAACACTTAGTGCCTTCCTAATGGAAGGTTAGGAAGGCACTAAGTGTCCAACAGGTTTACATCAACATTAGGAAGGCACTAAGTGTTCAACATATTTACATCAACATTAGGAAGGCACTAAGTGTTCAACAGGCTTACATGAAGGTTAGGAAGGCACTAAGTGTCCAACAGGTTTACATAAAAAGGCACTAAGTGTCCAACAGGTTTACATCAACATTAGGAAGGCACTAAGTGTTCAACAGGCTTACATTTTACATCAACATTAGGAAGGCACTAAGTGTTCAACATATTTACATCAACATTAGGTCTTGTTGAACACTTAATCGATCGCAATGAGATAGAGGGCGCTAATGATTCGAATTGATATGATTGGCAGAAACTGGGAAATTTAAAAAGTGAGATAGAAGAAATAATACCGAATGATAGCTTACAACAGATAGGTAAGGGTTACTTATAAACACGCTAAGTGAACGAAACTATTCATCGTCCTTATGACAAGTTCCCGATTAGAATTATCCCTCTAACTCGGCAGGTAGGCTTGAAGGCTTAAAACGCAAAAAAAATGGGGGTCTGATTCGCCCGATGAGCACAGCACAGATAGTCCGTTGTGCCATTGTTGTTTTTAGTGCAACGTACACAATGGATTATCTGCGCTCTGTCCACCGTGTGGAATCGTCGCCACAAATTAACAAGTAATAACGGATTAAGTAAACTAATATCAAGATTAGGAAATATGTTTTAAAATTTGATCCCAGCAATAACTGAAGGCCTAAGCCTTTCTATAAATGGGCGTTCTAACTTCTCTTGATCTTAAACAGTTCGGTTTGTTGCGAATTTCGCGCAAAGCTATACGAGCGCTAGCCGTCCCTAATTTAGCAATGAAAGAAAGGAAAGGCGGCCAGTAACCAGCACCCACCACCAGCTCTTGGGCTATTCTTTTACTCATGAATAGTGGGATTGACTGCCACATTATAACGCCCCTACAGCTGAAAGGGCGGTCCCCCGGTGGGACAGCCGTAAGTCTTCGGATTTACAATGTTAAAATCAGGGGTTCGATTCCCCCTCGGTGGACACAGCAGATAACCCAATGTGGCTTTGCTATAAGAAAACACACACCGAAAGGGCGAGCATGTTTGGTGGGACGGAGATTCGAACCCGCGACCCGAAGATTGCGAATCGAACGCCCTAACCCTCTGGCCATGCCAGGCTGTTCTTAAGCAGATGTACGTTGTTTTTTTTTTTGTTTTTGTTTTTTTAACTGTACAAAAACCTCATGTATTATCCTTGTACGTTTCTTAAAACTGACTGGTAATTTACCTCTTGTATTGGCTTTAATTCACCGATAATTTACTGAAGTCTTACAGTTTAATCAATTTTATGCTGTTTTCGTTCTTTAGAATCCCAAAATTAAAGGCCCGACTTTTATTTTAAGATGTATTAATTGGTTTTGGTTTCAGATTGCCGAAGAGGATGTTGTCGATGTTGCTAAGGATATAGAAGCCCTCGAAGCAGTCCGCGTGGATTTAGCAGAGTTTCTGTGCGAAGATAAAGCAACTTTTAAGCTAGAAGAATGTTTCAAGGTTTTCCAGAATTTTTGTCATAAATTCAAAACAGCGATTGAGGTAATCCATTATTACTATATAATTTAGCATACAATTAGATTGTACAAAAAATATATTTTTAAAACAATGTTTACCATTAAATCGATAAACGTTCGGTAACCGAATGAAGAACAGTAGTTGTAGCGATGTTCTGTTTAACTTAATCATCTATACTAATATGTATCCTACATAGGAGAACGAGCGTCGTCGCCAGCAGGAGAAGAAGGCGGAAGCCAGGCGTAGACAACGGGAGGAACAGTTGGCCTTGAAGAGGCGAAGTTCTGGAGGTAAGACGCACATCGGTTTGAACTTCTCTAGCGAACTATAAAACTACCATAGTTAGTCTTAGAGAGGCGAAGTTCTGGGGGTAAGACGCACATCGGTTTGAACTTCTCTAGCGAACTATAAAACTACCACAGTTGGTCTTAGAGAGGCGAAGTTCTGGAGGTAAGACGCACATCGGTTTGAACTTCTCTAGCGAACTGTAAAACTACCACAGTTGGTCTTAGAGAGGCGAAGTTCTTGAAATAAGACGTGCATCTGTTTTGAAGTTATTCGGGAAAAGTACAAAATTCTTACAGTTTTTAAACTGAAACTATGTTTTATTTCAAATATTAGCTTATCTAAAGTTGTCACCTAATGTAAATTATAGTTAAAATGAATAAGTAATGGCTGTAGGAAGTTATTGTAACAATACCTTCTGTTACCAAACTTTAAGACATGTTTTCTTTAATTAATCAGTTCTTTCTTGTCATTCTACAGCGTCCGATTTGCGCCCTAGCTCTATGTCTGGAAGTGAGAGCGACAATCATATAATGGACACTCTTCTTGGAGACATCCGGAATGGATTTTCTCAAAACCGCCTTGGTGACAACAAGTTCAAAGTTCATAAAGTCAAAAAGACTACCTTAGATCATTCTTCAGATCTTAATCGACTCAACAGTCTAAACAGTAGCTTGCCATCAGAAGAAGAGTACATGAGTTCTCCGAGAGTGGTCCGGCGTCGTATTGGTTCTATTACATCAATAACCAATGGTCAAGATAATATAGACACTGGAGAATTATCTGACGTTACCCCTACTGGCAGTCTTCGGAGGAGAAGAAGCCGCCTTTCTTCTGAAGATCAAGATGTTGAACTTATAGATTACCTAAAACATACCTCTGAGCTAGAGGCCAAAGATCGCAAGTCTTTGGGAAGCATAGATGGTGGATCTTTGGACAGATCTTTGCTCCGGCGATCTGGAAGACGAAGACGCCAGGATTTTTTGGCTGTCGAGCTGAACGAAAGAGAACGCCCAGCATCACCAATTTCTCCGACTATGGAAAGAGCCATGACTATACAAGAGAATAATACAGAAGTAAAACCAAAACAATGGCGAAGAAAAATCGAAGAATGGTTACAAGAAAATGAAAGAGAAGAGGAAAAGGAAAAAAAGTTAAAGGATCGATTGGTTCTTGAACGACGAAGACGACAAGAATTAGAACAGAGGGAGTCTGACATAGGCCTTTATGGTCCAGAAAAGGTTGATGATGACAGCCGACCTTCAAATCTAGGAACTCTTCACGAAGCTAAGACTGATTCTGAAATGTACACCAAAAAACTTAAAAATTCAATGCCCGACACAGATATAGAAAAAGTTATGGAAACTGTGGAAAGTGCTCAAGTGAAAGACAAATCTAGATGGAGAAAAAGTACCTTAAATGTGGCCAATAGTTTCGAGTCAGTGGATGACGATCGTCGAAAATATCGCAGTCGGCGGTCTACAAATTCTTTGGATGGTTCAAAGAGCAGTTTGGGTAAAGAAAGCAGTAATGAAACTTTAACGCTGTATGTCAGAAGACCATCGGCTGATTCCGAATTGGGTAAAGATGTTGTCTCCTCATTCCAGACCGGTCTGGAATCCAAGGTACCCATACAAGTGCAACAAAACATTTCAAATGGGATGACCAGAAATGACACATCATCTAATAATACGGAGAAAGAAGATATGAAAAATGCAGTACCAAGAACTCGGCAGAGTCTCAGAGAACCCTTACCTGAAGAAGCAATCAACAGCAATATTCAAAGTTATACAGAAAATCCCTTAATCAGTCCAACTTCAGAGAAAACGCCTGACTTTACACAGTCTGACCTTATTTCAAGTGCGCGAGTTGCTGAACCTGTACAAGACCTTATGTCACAAAATCATATGGATGGAGACATTAGTAACGAGAGAAGCCTTGTAATACCTAATGATCCTGTATCAAAAATTGCACCACCGAGAAGAAATAGGCTTTACACGAGCATGAGAGAATCCATTCCAAAATCCAAACCATCTAATGTTGTGAAATCTGCAGAAGATGATTTAGCAACAGTCTATAAGCCAAGAAGGCAACATGAAACTGAGGAGGTCAGTAGATTTGAAAAATCAGATATTGATATAAATCTAGATAAGCCTGAGAAGGAGTCCCAGAAGTTTAATCAATATTTAAACACAAAACATGAAGAATCATGCGAGAATAAAGACTTAATGACACAAGAAGAATGCGATTTAGAAGGTGAAGGAAATTTTGATCGCTTTTCTTTGATACGAAAAACCACAAGAAGAAGTCGTCCAAACCAAAAGAATCTTGGAAATGGAAAGGCTAAACAATCTAAAGATGATTATGAACAGGATAAAACAGTAAAAACTGACTACCGGTCAGTTGAAGCCCAAGGCAGTGACCAAGATTTTATTGAAGGGGCATTGAAAGATATAAGTTTGGCAAGTCAAGAAATCCAACAACTGAATTATTTTACCAATCCTAGACCTAAACACGATAACATTGAGGAACAAGATATCAAATCACGAGAAAATAAAACTCAAGACGATCTTTTAGACGGTAAAAAGAAATCCACGTCACTTCGCGCTAGATTAGCCAAACGTTGGAGTTCTCTTACCGAAAACTTTAAGAAGACTCCTGAAGCAGGAGCAAAGCAAGCTCCAACTGGAGAGATAGTTCCAGAACCTTCCTCTAATGTCAGTAGAGCAAATAGCGACTTTACTACAGAGAGACCAGATGAAACAGTTTGCCAGTCTAATGTTGAAATGATCCCCAGCTCTCCAGTAAACCAAGAAGCAAAAGTGGTTCCACTAACAAAAGATGTAGTTGATGGTACAACTATAGAAAGTCTTCAAGAAGACAAACATCAAAAAGGGACGTACTCTCGTCCTAATCCAATACGGATTCAAACACCTGTCACTGAATCGACAAACAGGCCATTGCAGGTAAGAAACCCAAGCTTGCTGCCTGACCAAAAATGCCTAGATACACAAAGCAGCTCTACCGAACGGACACAAGTAAGTGAGGACCATCTTCATACAAGAAGAGGTCATACACCACTTAGTTCATCGCCAATGTTTAAGAGGAAGAATACAGAAGAACACGAACACGATGAAGGATTTGAAGAAACACAATCTCTTGTAAGTGAGACGTTATCTCAAGGTGCGTCCTCTGCAGGAGCTTATGACACGGACCTGGTGGATTCACCAAGAAGTCTGAGACAGATTGTACCTAACAGCTTATCGGAGGAACCAGAAAATACTTTTAAGAAGTGTGAATATAATACCTTACCAAAAATCACAGTTCCTAAAACATCCATGGCTGAAAAATCTAAAAATGTGGAAAAAATGAAGCCACAAATTAAAAATTTAGGAAAACGAATGCAGTCTGTAAAAACACCTGTTAACAGTTTCGAAAGATCAAGTAGCAGCCAACTATCGGCAAGAAGTAGCTTGGGCAAACAAGGCATTCAGCCTTCTATTAGAAGTTCGACCCGTAGTGTTGCTGGGAGAATTCAGAGAACAGAAAGTCATTCTTCAACAACATCAGACACAAAGAAAACCTCTCGAGGCCCACAATCAACTTCGAAAGCTAGCTCAAGAACTAGCCTAGGAAGCTCCAAAAGTAGCTTAACAGGAGAATCGGTGCTGCCAAAATCGAGAACAAGAATTCGGGAAGGAAGCCAAAGAAAAGATGAATCAACAATTACAAAAGACAAAGTCGGTGGTTATTCAAAAACCATCAAAAATATAACCCAGAACGTGGCTAGGGCAAGGGGTATGTCGGACAGTTATAATGTATCTCCGTCAACACGTCCAAATGCAGAAAGCAAAAAGGTCCTGAATGCCCCATCAAGATCTAGTTCTTCAGTAAACAGGTCAGTTTCTCCAAGTTCTCGGTCCAGCGAACAATCCTTATCTCGAAGATCCAGTGAAAGGTCGTTGACCTTATCCAAATCTAGCGAATTGTCAGTGGCCACTGTCAAGGCTGCTTCTCAGGTAAGCACTCCAAACCAACAGCTTTCCAACACTCCATCTAGAGCTGTGAGAAAAGAAGTGTCTTCTGTTCCTAGAGAAAGGCATGGTCAAAGCGATTCAGTTGTGAAACGAACCTCTTCCATTACCAGAAATGGTGCAGTGTCAGGTAAGCAACCAACAGCTGGAACCGCCCGAAAAGATACGTCACAATCCAAAAGATTTGGCTTTATGAAAGCTACGTCAGCTTCATCTGCTAAAGGAAAGCCGGGCCTTACAGAGAAACCTGAACCACAAGTTCAACGAGTGCGGGTCACAGCGTCACAGATAAGTCCCTCCAGGACAAGGATGGTGTCAGCTACTAGTAAGAGACAAACTAAGTGATCATGAGTACAAAAGAATCCTGTAACAGCGTAGCAGCCAAACGTTTTTCGAAATAAGAATCACGCTCAACCAGCAGCAAGGCGCTGAAGGCGAGAGTGTATTCAGAATATACAATAAAACTAACGACGTTGAACTGTCTAAAACCAAGAAAGAATGACGACCTTTTACATTATGTGACTAATGACGTCAAAGCGTTGCTGTGTCCAGTTTTTAACTGCTACAGTCTACCTCTGTCCAGTTTGACTTGTTCATCTCACATGAGCGTTCTTTTGAATTAAACATTATTTTTTTAACGTTTTCAATATGTGTTCAAAGGTGGTTGCATGGACTTTTAATTTCGTGAGATTTTAGGACTATTGACTTGTTTCTTTGTGCTAAACAACAAATCCAGAACGTCTGTCTGGATGTATATTACTCTTCGAGAAAAGAGCAGAATTGTTATCTTTTGGGGACTTAATGCTTCCTGGTGCTATATTTGTTTATTAAATAACATATTTGGAAAGGATATGACAATTTCAAATAGGCTTCTTTACGAGATTATTTGAAGTTATTCTGTTTTTAAAGCATACCAAAAAGCTTTTTAAAACAATAAGTAGAGCTTAAATATATCTTTCATTAAAATGCAGGGTCAATGTTTAGGTTAGTTCGCTACTAATATGTGTTGCCACTATCGTTAGAGAACAATACACTGTTTTCAGACGTTTCGTGCAAGATCAGGCACGAAGAGTACGTTTAAAAACTTCTTAATGACGTCATAGAAAACGGGTATGGCGCCCTCTTGTTTTCAGAAATCGCAAGTTCTAGTGAAAACTAAAGTGTTACACTTTCTTATGAGACAACGAAACGTTTCTTTTAACACTTTCACTCATTACTTTATCTTTTCTAATTATCTTTGTTCCCAGATTGTGTAATCACAGTTTATACCATACAAAGAAGAAAGTTTTACAAACTAGGGATAAAGTTTTAGAAAATACGCAGAAAGTGGTAAATGACGACGAGCGTCTGTTTCACCGAAGCGCCAATCAACATGAGTATGAAACGTGATTCGCTGTTAAGCAGAAGGGGTTTGCCTCGAACTTTATCACTATTTCTAAAGGTTAGCATTAGAAATAGTGATGTTTGGAACTCTTTGATCCAACGTGTCATTTCTACTGACGTTCAAGTTGCGACTTTGGAAAAAAAAAATATTTTCCAAGATTATCTTGTGGAATATATCCAACTTTTACAGCCGGGTCTTAGCCTTAAAGATTCGGAGAAAGATCGTAATCCAAGAATAATGTTTCGAAAACGTTTAGAAACAGACTAGATGTGGTTAAGATTTGTTTAAAAATTAATATTTTGTTAAGCCTACAATTACACTAAATCCAATGGTTACATTATTTGTATTAATGCTAACAGATTTTGTTATTGTCGTGTACTAGAGGAACTGCACCGTGTATTAAATTTACACCTTGTCTGTATATGTGTGTTTGAATTAAGCCTTTATTATAAACGTTAGAAGTTTGTGTTTTAACAATTTCGAAATACACGGCTCATAATTTTAACACAACCATTCTTTTCTATAAAAAGCAAAATTAATCTAACAAAATAAATCCAAGCAACTTTTTTCTCCAAATACATTGCGAAAGAAAAATAGAAGTGTGTAGCTAGCGCCATCTCTGAAGCATCTTAAAATTATTTTCAAAAGTATTTTATTAATTTTAATTTTTCAAACATTCCTATATATAGATACGAAAATCTCCTGACGTGCTTCAAAGACACTAAGTAGTGTTTAGCTAGCGCCATCTCTGAAGCATCTTAAAATTAATTTCAAAAGTATTTTATTAATTTTAATTTTTTATTTTTTCAAACATTCCTATATATAGATACGAAAATTTCCAGACTTTGTTTAAAAACACTAAACCACGCAAGTTGAAAACAACTAAAATTCCTGTAGCCAAAGTCTAGCCACAATAATTATCCCTGTACAAGGTTTCTTCCAACACGGAACAACTGGAAAAGTAGCGTTAAATATCTACTAATTTGGGATTCCGAGCTATGTCCACCCTGGGGAATCGAACCCCGGTTTTTGCAAGGAACAGAGTGTGTATAAAAGCTTCATTGTTCCGTTAGTGTGGTTTATATTAATAATTATAATAAATTTTTATACTTTACCAAAAGTCAATTATTGTTTGTTGTGTTGAATTTCGTGCCAAGTTACACGAGGGCTATCTGCAATAGTCGCCCCTAAGTGATAGACTAGAAGGAAGTCAGCTGGTCAATCTCACCCACCCTCCGAAAACTCTTGGGCTACTCCTTACCAACGAAGAGTGGGATTGACCGTAACATTATAACGCCTGCTAAAAGGTTGAGGATTTTAAGCTGCGAGTCGTGTACCCTAACCACCAAGCCCCAGTAATTACCGAGAAATGTAAAGACGTTGACGTTGCACGTCTTTTGGTATTTTCAAACTGAACGACACCTAACGCAAGACATTGGCTAAACGACAAGGTCAGACAACTCCAGGTTCAGGAATAGCCGACTATAAATTTGAACTGTCTGTCAGACGAAGGGTGACCAGTCAGCAGTACCTGCCGCCTACACAGCTACTCTTAACTGAATAACGAGATGTCACTTTTCTCACAGTTGGAAATGGAGAATGTATACAGCAGCATATCATGGGCCCGAACCTTGGACTTTCCGACACGCTAACTAATAGACCACGCCCAGCCACCATTTTATGTCTTTAGACGTTATATTTCTTTAGAATTTAAATTGCGTGCCAAATTTATTTTAAAATAAAATATATAAATTATTGATGTACGTGGCCTAAGCATGCCGGGTTAGGATTCGGAAAGTCCGAGGCTCTCGCCGCGAAACTCCTAACATGCTCTGTGCTTTCATCTATAGGTGCGCTATAAGAGTGTCATGCAGACTCGTTAATCGGTTTAAAGCTGTTGTGGCGACGAGTTAACGGTACAAATTATGGACTGCTATATCTGAACCCCGAAGTTTCGGACTTCATCGTTTAACTATGTGCGGGTAAGTTGCTATCTAAGTTGTAAATATCAGCACTGTATTATAATTTCCAATAAAAGCACAAGTAATAATAATATATATATATATATATATACTTCAGAAGAAAGAAGTTGAAGCGAACATTTCGACCCCAACTATCGAGAATGTGTATAACATGTAACTGCTGCTAAATACAGAGCCTTTCGTACCATTGTTCCTTAAGATTCATGATTTCAGAGAAACACGTAGATTCAAGAAGTCTTGATACAAAATTATAAAAAAAACATATAACCCGAGCGCTTATATTGTTTTTAAGATGTATTTATGTAAAAACCTCATCTAGAGAAGTTTTTAAGGTTTCAGATCATCATTCTGTAGTCTTCTGAATTAATAACAATATCAACCTTTCCTGTAACTTCAAAAACAACACCATTTTACACTGCTACGTCTTCTGTATAAAGCATGTAACTTCAAAAACAACACCATTTTACACTGCTACGTCTTCTGTATAAAGCATGTAACTTCAAAAACAACACCATTTTACACTGCTACGTCTTCTGTATAAAGCAGAAACCAACTTTTATTTCCAATGAGGATAAGCTTCATTCATTTTTTATTGGCTAGAATTCAAGTTTCTCTGATTTAAAGTAGGTTGAGCTTACACCTATTTCTCTGACTTAAAGTAGATTGAGCCTACACCTATTTCTCTGACTTAAAGTAGATTGAGCCTACACCTATTTCTTTGATTTAAAGTAGATTGAGCCTACATCTATTTCTCTGATATAAAGTAGATTGAGCCTACACCTATTTCTCTGATTTAAAGTAGGTTTAGCCTACACCTATTTCTCTGATTTAAAGTAGATTGAGCCTAAACCTATTTTTTATCTGACCGCAAATTTTATACTAATATTAGAATAGGTAGTGACGGTTTTTTGTAAGACTAGTAGCGCTCTTTGGGTCAAACGTGGTCTAGTGGTTAGAATCCTCGAACTGTGACTCGTTGCTGCAAAAACGCGGTCCGCACTTTAAGGCAATGGGTGCATTATAAGAGTGACAGTCAAGTCCCACTATTCTGTCAAACAAGAGTTGACAATTGATGCTCTTGACTAGCTGCCTTCACCCTACTCTATCACGAAAAATCTGAAACCAGCAAATAAGCAAACATTTTTTGCAAATTACTGCTTTCAATACCATTTACTGCTGCCAATCCATTGCGTTTCAGCGAAATTACTGAATGTATGTACAACGTATAATTATAGACCTGTTGGATTCAGAAGTTACTGATTTTTTTTTTCTACACACTATATTTAATACTTCTTAATAACGTCACTTTCATTTCGAAATGTTTTGAGTGCGGTACATTTTCACTTATTGCGTAACACTCGCACGAGATCAAATATGAAATGTCTGAGGGCGTGATTGACTGAAGATGACGTATCGCTGAAATCTCGATGTAGGGGCATTTATAAATAAAATATAAATGAAATCCTACAAAAATCAAAATAAAATTATTGTTTCAATAACTGATTAAGGTTAAATATAATAATATGTACTTTAAATAAATTAAATTGCCTGGATTTGTAGCAGTCAACAGTGAAAGTATTTCATATGACGAAAAATGAAAATACCAGAACATTGGGTTGGCATTTTGTTGGTTATGCCCTCTGGTGGCAGCTAAGTGACTAAGTTCAGTAAGATTTCCAGATTATTATCTAAATTTACCAAAGAGTTTAGAACTTTAGAAAATAAACCGAACAAAAGATTAAAATTTTAGCATCATTAAACCAAAAAGAAAAACGTTAAATGAGTACATAAGGTATGATGTTCATCATTAATACAATTTCTAGAAATTCTCAAAGATTATTTTCCTCTTATCTAAACTTATTCGACAAATAAATTAACATCCCAACAATACAACATGTGAACAAGCTACTAATTAGGGTTAATACCCCAAACAAATTCACAAAAAACATGACATTTAGGCTAGAATATCTAAAATTATCTTTGTTGCCGGAAATACGTTTTATCAGATTTTTAGAATGTGTTGCGTGAGAAATTCTTACGATTTGGTCTAAACCAGTTGTATTTTCTCATAGTAAATTAATCAGAGATAAACACAAAACCAGAGACAACTAGAAGTAAACTGTCAGTGTCAAAACGTCTCGTTTCACTGCTTATTCATGGTTGGTTAAAATGATATGAGTTACTGTATCAAATCATTAACCGGCTTGAAGTTATAACAATAATAAAAATATAATTTATATTTGTTTATACACCATTGTATGACTTGCTTTTCTATTTAAACACTAGAACTGCTGTTTTCATGTGTTTTTTTATTGTTGTTTTTGTTGTATTATACAAACATTGTATTCTGTCAATTAAATTTCTGAAGAAAAAAGCGCGCTGGATGTAAATGTTTGACTTACATATAAGATACCACGTTTCTCAACGGATTGTTACAAATTAAAGTAAATGAAGTTTTCAATGGATAGTAAAAACTTCTACACCAATTGCTTTTTGACAATAATTAATTTTTCATTAAGTAGTTTTGTATCAGCTATAGAACTACCAGAAACCATTATGTTCACAACACGTTAATGGAAACAGAGAATTTATGACGTAATTTTTAAAATTACATCATACAGGACCTGTACATTATGTGGTGAAAAAACAGGCTGACAGCTATAGCTTTGTTCCATAGTCTCTTGGACTTCTTTTTGTTGTGTCCACCTATCCTTATATGGTTTTCATTCAGCGCTGCACACATCTGATTGGATGACCACTGGCTATAGCAAGGTGTTTTGCTGCACGTGGAACCTGCATGACCACTGGATACAGCGAGGTGGAAACTGGAGTCGTGGGCAGCGAGTAGATGTTGCATTATCTGTCTCTCAGCGCAGCCGCGGGCAGCGGGTATGTTGGAGTACTCCCATTTTATCATGTTGGCCCTAAGCCTGCCGACCTGGGAATGTAGGCGATTTGGGTTTTTTCAGGTGCTCTAACCCCTTTACACTCCTCTGGGGAGAAGGCTCTTGGTAAAGACGTATAACCGAAACGTTAAAGTTGTATCAGTGTCGTCCCTCTGTTACCATTTATTAAGCATATTTTAAAAGAAGAAATGCTTAGTAAAACTAAACTTTTTTCTAGCTTTTGAGGCCTTGGTAATGGCAGTTTATACCATGGCTTTCATGAACAGATTTTCTATTTAAAGTTAAACATATAAATCATCTAAAAATTAAATCATATACTCAAAACCGCACTGGAAGATGAATTTAAACTTCAATAAAAACTTATCACCTTCATGAAAACAGGTATTCAGAAAAACTACCATTTTATTTGTATAAAATTGTATTATATAGGAAGATTATAAATCACAAAAGGATAAATCGCTGGAGGTTAATGAACACACATTTCTCTTAACGTGTTAACCATTGCGTATATTTTTCTATAGCACTAATGTTTGGCGTTAATACTAACATTAGTGTGTATTATAAATAGTTTCGTTACTACTTCTGGTGCGGTAAAACTGAGATAACAATTAGTAATGGGATAGGTCCACTTAATAACAGAAGGTTCAACAAGATATGTATTATGAAGTAATTCTGAGTTTTCTGACTTTGAGAATCGAAGAGAATTGACACAGTGTAAAAGTTACAGTCAGAAGAATATTCATTTATACTCAAAACACAATCAAAATATTGTGCACGTAGGACACTGCCTTTACTTTATAATTAGCTCGCGATCTCTATACTCTCCTAAAATCTTATAAACTTATTTGATGAGAATTGGTTAATATTAAAAGTTAAATATTAGGAGAATATTGCTATTTACTAAGAAAGAAATTAAACTTCACTTACCAAACTGAAGGCTTGAGTTTGAAACAAAGATAGCGCTAGTTAATAGATCATACTATCTATAACATTATACTTTCGGGATGAGTGCGCCACCCATGTCACTGTTGGTCAATCCCATTGAAATGTAAGGGAGGTCGTAACTTAAAGATATCACCTAACCTGCTGTTGGATAACACTACTGTTGACATTCTTGCATAATATAGAGAATTACAGCAAAATCACTCATGGGCACAACTGGTATTATGTGATAGAAAATGACAAAGGAATAAAGGCAGCTGGAACGAGATGAACTTAAAGGCTTTCTAGACCACGTGTAACGTGAAACCTGCACATATACAGATTATAGGGTAAACTAAAGATGAATAATATAATATTACAAGAAGATAGAAACGCATGGTATAGTCATATACAACACTAGTACCAACGATCTTCTACAAGGTATCAGAATGTATTCCGGTGCTAAAAAATTTAAATTGATTATATATATATACATACAAATACCTTCTTCACAAGCCAGTGTAAACAGTAAGGTAAAGACATTCTCCAGTTAAATCTGAAGTTCTAACAATAAACCTAGCATACTTTCAACCGTTCAGATTTGCTACACTGACTCAAGTTATCAATAGCCCTAAAACAGGTAATTTTATTGGTTTTATAATATTGAACCAGCTTCCAATCGCATGGAGAAAGAAAATTCAGAGATTGGGTTTACTCGTAAAAAACAAAATGTTTCGCAAATAATTTTATTAGAATAAATTTGATTCTGTGAAATCAATCATAAAATAAAAAATTGCGAAATATAATTAATAACATGAATTATTTTTAAATAATCATAACAGGAATTTATAATACAATTTCCATCTATGACGTAAGTGTGTATGGTATTCGAGAGTATAATGATAGTCATGACCAAGCTGAATTTAATATAAGTTATACTTGATATCTACTATGCATTAGTAAACTTAACGAATAATGTTTGAAAAGTTAATTCATTTCTTTGTATAGCTGTACAAGTTTTCTATTTATTTAAGGTAGTGTAAAATTCTCCACGATTATATTTATACATCAAAATATATGCTTCGAAGTTCGGTTTGCGTGAAGAAAGCCGAGCCTCGAGTTAAACTCTGGATATATTTGTAAGACGAAAGTGAGAGGGTTAGGCCCAGTGTTATTATTAGTGTAATTATAAACAGATGCATAGTTGTACCTCTTCAATTTGCTGTGGTGCGTTGAGAGCTGCAGCTTTATAATTCATTTTATAGATATATATAAATATACTTCTTGAACCGGTAATTTATGTATGGATGCAACAACGCATAAAAAAGTATAATGCTTTAAGTTTGAAAATAAGTGATTAAATGAGGCTAATAGTAATATTTGTTCATGTTTAATTTATGAATTACCTTCCCGTAGATATCCTTTCTGGCCTTTTGTGTTGTTGTTGACCATGCCCCTAGTGACTGGAGCGAAGTGAAGGTAGAGGTTCTTAAACTTAAAGTTAATTTTTGTGTAGTATTACTTAATATCTTGTATATCTTAAAATTAGAAGTAAGACAGTTCAGTATAAAGAAACAAAATGAGTGATATCAATGATAGTAATATGAATGGAGCTTGGAAATATTTTGTTACTTTTATAAACTTATTTGAAACTGAAAGTTGAAGCTTAGAAGTATATGTATATGTTCATTGCTTCAAGTTCAGTATCTCGCTTTTCTATAAACTAAAAAAATTATACTAAAAACTGCTGAACAGGGAATTACCTGTTGAACTAAGACTTGTAAAAGAATATGCTTGTGGGTATGATATTGTAAGGGATAGTTTGGGAAGTAATTTTTTGAAGGTGGAATATAATACTCATTAATAGATACTGAAGCAGCTTTATGGATAATTTTAGGAAAGGTTTTGTCAACTTACTAGCCAGATGATTGTCTTCTGTCTTTGTAAATAAGGGTACCCTTTAAAGTATGTGTTATTACATTTAAGTATAATCTTTCCTTGCAATAGGTTAATTATCGAGTGAGATTATTACTTGGATGTAAGTGAAAAGTTTTGAAAAATAAGGTTGTTTACAGAAACGGGAGTTAAAAATTGGATAGTTTTCTGATTGGATGAGTGTGGCTTGTGGAGCTTTTCAAGAAAAGTTTTATATTGACATTATTGATTGTGTCGTGGGTTCTAACTTATCAAAATTTGCTGATAAAATTCCTGCAAAGTGCAAGAATTGTAAATTCATACATAAGTACAGAAACATGATGTTTTAGACATTTAAGACAAATGTTTTGTTGTGAGGAAGGATTTGAATTTGATTGTTTAGAAAAGCAAGAATGTTTTAGCTGAGCATCTAGCTATCATCACCAAAGGAAAGAAAATTCTAAGTTCTTAAATTTTGGTCTTGTTTTATGAAATTTATTTTCTCGAAAGTGAACAAGAAGCAAGTTAAAAATTGAACTATAAGTAGATGCTTCAACGGTTGCTTTTGTTGTGGTTGCATTAAAAAAAGGGGAGGAAGTGATTTGATTCATGTGTCAAAATTTGTTTGAGGTGTGGACAGACTACTTTATAAAGATAAAAATTAATGCTAACAGAGGTAACAAATAGAAGCTTTGTAAAACCTGGACTTGAATTATTCTTTTAGCTATTGTTAATTTACAGAACAGTTGTCCTAGTTGGGTAGTGTGCTGATAGTATGGATTCTGTAAAACGTTTCTTAAATAGAAATGGTTTAAGGTTGTTTGAGCTAGTTTTTAGTACATTGTTAGGGAGTTCGGGATAAGTTAGATGGTATCCTGCTGCTTGTTTCTGCTCAAGTATATGGATGACTAGAGAGAGGCAGCAAATGTGGGGTAGAGTTCCTTATGGAAACCCCCTTTTATAATTATAATTGTTATGGAAATCCCCTTTATAATTGTTGTTTTCTTGAACTGATAACTAGAACTGGGCAATTAGTAGAATTTAATAGTCAAAATTGTCAGGCTCAGTAATCAAGTACATTCAAGTAATTAATTATTCTCTTATGAGACTTGGATAGTTTTAACAATCAGAAACATTAATTTTGGTGAGTTGATTATTTTACAAGTGACTAATCATTGTAACTGATGCTCGTAGGTAAAGTATTGTATCGATTAATTGAGTTAATTGGCCAGCTCTACCGATAATCCTCTTGTCAGGCACATGTGGCCAACATCATCTTTCTTGATTGATTTAAGCAATATACTTAACTGTGGATGAAAATAACCAATGTTTAATCACTCGACCACAATGTGTCAGTGTTAGTTAAACTGGGGTATGTAATTTAACCATGAGTAGTTAAGAGAAAAGCTTGTAGCTCTTTTATCAGTGGCAGGATGTTTATGCTTTGTTGAGGTTCATGTCTAAACTTGTTTTGTTGCATGTGTTCACAGTACATGTACATATCGCATCCAGCATTGTTTCTGTATGTATATTATTGGCAATATAACACATGGTTTTCAGATTTCTTAGTTTTTATATTTTGATTCTCATGAAGGTTGCATGTGGAAGTTTGATTGTTTCAAAACAAAACTTGTATAAAGTTGAGCTTGTTACAAAACTTCAACATGATTAAACATGGATTTAGAGAAACAGGTGGTATGTTTTTGAGTTTTTTAATATTTATTTTGGCTGTGGTAAAACAGTACAGATTTTTCAGTATTGTAGTAATTTGTACTTTAGATCATTGTTTCAGTTTTTGCAAGATGTATCCTTGAAAGTATGAACATTGAGATTAGATGAATTTTATAAATACATGTTTCACTTGAAGCCAAGTAACTCTGTGTAAGAACAAGTTTAGTTTTATTCAGTATTTGGAGATACCTTTATTGGCAGCTTAGATTAAATCATATAACTATGTTTGCAACCTTGACTTGTGGGTAAAATATTTAATTTTTATCTCATTTAGAAAGGCTGTTGCTTGAATCAAAATGTTTTAGTAACTACATATCCTGTAGAAATTGAACATGGAAGAAAGGTTTGTCAGATTTTAGAATGGTTATTCAGGACTTATCAAAGTATGTGTATTTTATAAAGAGAGAAAATTCTTAAGAACTCTGGTGTTTAACTTTTAAATAGGACTAATCGAAGTTGTAGCACGATTTCGTGGTCCTATATGCATGTGTCATAATCTGTTGGAAAGTAAACATAAGAGGATTATCTCCGAGTGGAAAAACAACTTCCAGGTAATGCACATCTTCTGTTTTTAGAGAATTTTATTGGATGTATATCAAGGAAGTAGTTTCAGCTAGAGTATGCTATCTTTCTTTCTACGTCCATTCTGTTTTAATTTTGTTAGATGACACTGACCACAGATCCCAACTGAAAGAAAGAGATTTTTGGAATGAGTTTGATAACTAACATTATAAACAAGTGATTGAATTTTATTTTTAAGAATTTATTTTTAACAAAAATGATTTTTAATAATGGATAAAAATTTCCTGGTAGTCAGTGGTGTCCTGCTATTTTTTTAGTCATTCTACTGGCCACTCATCAGATCAATGTTAGTCTGATGAAGAAATAATTTGGGATATTGAGTTTGGGGTGCTGAGTTGGGTGTTAAAAACTACATTGTCTCGTCTATGTTACAACTCCTGAAAATAAACACTAGAGTCTGAAATTCTGCTTGACCAGTGGCAAATGGACTTTCTAAATCAGGCTCGCTACATTGGGGTCATATTAAAACTAGCACAGGTGTTCTTGTCGTGTTCATTTCAAGATAGAAATACTGCTCAAAGTCAATGATGAAAATTCACATGAAATTACCAAATATTTATTTTAAATGAATAGTTTTTTATCTGGAAAACATCAAATTTAAAGAATAATGTTCTTGAAAGAATTCACTGGCCTGTTTTGAAATATTGGTGTTATTAGTGCATGAGATACACAATACAGAAGCAGTAATGTTAATAGTAATATCTAAACAATAAGTTAAAACGGACTAGATTTTCTTTATGTATTACCACTTTTCTACCTTCCCTCCATACGGTGATGCTACTTGTGGACTCGACTTTGTTTGTCATTAAACTTCAGATCTTTTCATCCTTGTTTTTAATTTTAAATTTATAAAATTGTCTTGTTTCTGTTTTCACTGCAAGCAATAGTTTCTTGTCATCTAGTGGCAGGACAAATAGGATTTTAGGTTCTTTCTAAAGAGGTTATAATGTCATTGTGTAGGCCATATATGGAGTATTGTATTTTATCTTGGGCTACTTACCTCAGAAAGGATATTGAATTGTTGGAAAGGGTTCAGAGGAGGGTTATTAGAAGGGTGCCTGGGAAGGATGGGTTATTATTTGAGGAGAGATTAAGATCTCTAAAATTGTTTTCTCTTGAAAAAAGAAAAGTTAGAGTGGCCTTAATTGAGGTGTTTAAGATTGTTAAGGGAACTGTTGATGCATCATCCTTTTACTGGGACTGGTTTTTCATCTCATTCTGTTAAAGTGGGCTAGAAACCTGAGTTAATATACTTACCTGACAAAACCACTAGTTAAGAACTGAGGCTTCCAACATGTTAAACACAATGGTGTAGCTTCATTATCTGCCTCACAAGTAACTGAGGCTTCCAACATGTAAACACAGTGGTTTAGCTTGAGTTTCTGCCTCACAAGTAACTGAGGCTTCCAACATGTAAACACAATGGTCTAGCTTGAGTATCTGCCTCACAAGTAACTGAGGCTTCCAACATGTAAACACAGTGGTCTAGCTTGAGTATCTGCCTCACAAGTAACTGAGGCTTCCAACATGTAAACACAGTGGTTTAGCTTGAGTTTCTGCCTCACAAGTAACTGAGGCTTCCAACATGTTAAATACAGTAGTTTAGTTTGAGTATCTGCCTGACAAGTAACTGAGGCTTCCAACATGTAAACACAGTGGTTTAGCTTGAGTTTCTGCCTGACAAGTAGTTCTAGCTTTGGATTTCTCTTGCTCTTAGTTTTTCATTCCACAAAAATATTTAAATATAATGTTTAAAATTAGAGATATAATTATGTTGAGTTACTTACCAAAAGGTATATGAAGTGAAAACAAAACGTTGAATGCTGTACATATTTCTACAGAAAATATTCTGGTCTTTGTTTCATGCAGTGGTAACTTTATATTAAATGTGTTCCTGACTTACTACCTTCACAAGCTAATGTTTATTCCTATGAAACTAATGTTTTCTTTTATCAGATTGTTACACATTTCAAACTAATATCTGCTCTTATCGAACTATTTGGTTTTATTGAACTTGTCACACTAATATTCACTCTTATTAAACAGCTTATTGTTATGAAACAAATATTCAACCTTATCAGACTAATGTTTACTCTTATCAAACTAATAATTAATCTTTCTTTGTCATGACAAATAATATTCTAATCATAAATACCTGTTCTTTAATATAATTTTGGCAGAACTGGCGTGATTGTAAACTACTTGTCTCATAGTGTTTCTACAAGAAAATATTGTTGTAAAGGCTTCACTTGTACCTATATTCAGTGCTTTGATAAATGTTTATAGTTTGAATTTAAAATGTATATCTAACAACGCTGTTTACTCTTTAGGATAAAAGAAAGTTTTTACTAAACTGCTATGTAACATTATCAAAGGAACCATAAGTTATTTATTTAGAACTACAGGTCAAAAGTAAATTTAATTTATAAATGAAAACTGCAAAGCACAGTTCTGTATTAAAAAACAAAAAACTGACTGAAAAGACTTAATATCAGGATCAGTATGTAACAAACTTAAAATCATGTAATAAGTAAGTAGACAGTATTGAATCTTTAGAATGGAATCACACTTTTGGCCATAATCCTAATAATATCTTATGATTTGAGCCATCTTATGAGATTTAAGTTCTAAAATCAGCATACTAAGCTAATAATGTAAAATAATCATTACAAGTGAAAAATAAAATAACAATAGTGTTAAGGAAACTAAGAATAAAGGAAGAAAAATTACAAAGCACATGATAATACTAATTAGTTTCTCACTCTTTAAGATATGGAATCTAAATATACAAGTATTCCTATATTAATAATATAATATAACTAGTTATTTTCCAGACTACAGTTGTAAATACAACAGATGAAATTGATGTGTTCTCTTAGAATTGTTTTATTTCAGTAATTGGTAATTGTATGAGGAACTAGGATCCTTAGGGCTGGAAAGTAGCACAAGTCCTGGGGAAAATTTAACTTTTCTGACAAAAAGAAAGGTGTTAGAATGATGTTTACATATTAAAAAGAAGCGATTTAAGGGTGAATGAAAAATATTGAGAACGAAATGTAATGTATGTTATAATTTTGTTTTTAAAAATATTTAAGAACTACTTTCTGTGGTACTTAAAAAATGGCATTTGATAAATTTAGGTTTCTGGTGTTGGTAAAATAAGTGTTATTACCACCATGTTTTGGTTTATCCAAGAAAAACTGAAACTAGGTGTATAAAAAAAATAATAATAACTGCTTTATTACCTATTATTTTAACTACTGGGTGAATGTGTGTGTTCAAGTGATCGTTATTTTTAATTTCTTGCTTTTTATTTTATTGACAATTTATAATGCTCTTTGTTTATTCCCTAATTGATTTTCTTTGCGTTTTTTTTTGTGAAACATGAGATTTTCTTTTGAATGAATGGTTCACCCCAGGAGTGAAAGAATAAAGTAGAGCTATAGGACATGAGAAGTGATTTACATTTTGTAGATGTCGGTACAGAAAAAATTAATTTATGATTGAAATGTTGTAGATGTCGGTACAGAAAAAATTAATTTATGATTGAAATGTTTAAGATGTCGGTACAGAAAAAATTAATTTATGATTGAAATGTTTAAGATGTCGTTACAGAAAAAATTAATTTATAATTGAAATGTTTAAGATGTTGGTACAGAAAAAATTAACTTAAAATTGAAATGTTTAAGATGTTGGTACAGAAAAAATTAATTTATGATTGAAATGTTTAAGATGTTGGTACAGAAAAAATTAATTTATGATTGAAATGTTTAAGATGTCGTTACAGAAAAAATTAATTTATGATTGAAGTGTTTAAGATGTTGATACAGAAAACATAACTTGTAATCTCATTCAGTTTCTATCTTTTTTTGGTTAGATGAAGTGATTTTGTAAAATTACAGTGGGTTTGAGAGGTGTTTACTGATGTAAAATACAAAGCTGTTGCTGCAGTTCTGTAATTTGATTCCTCTTTTTGTTCTTCATTAGTGAGCATGGGTCAAACACTCTCTGAACCAGTGACTGCTAAGGAGACTTCGAGTTGTTCGAACGAATTATTGAAAGTAGGTGCCTCCTGCATGCAAGGATGGAGAATCAGTATCCTCACTTTGTGCATGTTTCTTGTTTAATGCTGATTGATCGTATTTTTACTTTTCTCAGGCTACAATATGTAAAAGGTTATGGTAAGGACTACAATTTTAGATATGACGGTAATTTTGTCAAAATTCACAGAACATGGTGTTAGGTAGTATAGAATATTTAACTACTTTATATGTTCAGTTGTGTGATATATGTTGTAGAATGGCTTTTCTCCCAGTAAGCTTTTCATATAATAACTAGGTGTCGGTGACTTTTTTTTTCATCCAATACCTGATATTTTGGCATTGCTTTGCTGTTTACTTGATGCTTGCTCTTCGTGTTTCTGTATGAATATCCAAGGACCACTCGAGGCAATGACAGCATAAATTTAATACAATATTCACTTTGTTGTTGTTATCAACAAAATTAGACTAGTATAATTTTCCACTTTTTAGTCACTTTATGATGAGAAAGATGCTCCGTACTTTGTGTTTGTTTTTCTTCTGAATTGGTGGATATGTACATATACTGTACATGAATGGTACACATGCTGACAAACACTATGCGAATTTGGTATACACTATTTTATTTCTAAGGGGTATTTACATTAATTTACACTTTACCTGAAGCACTGTTTAAATTGTAGAATCTTTTCCAGCCTGTAATATTAAATGTTCTGGTTTATAATTAATAATAATCTTCACAGGATAGCTTTAAGAGTTAGCAGTGCATATGTAACTGCCATCAGACGGTTTCAATAAGTAAATTTAACAATTTTAGTTTTTATTGCAGTAGCTCTAAATTACAAAAACTAATTATACAACAGCTACTGTTAATAACAGAAATGGATTTTTAAGGTGTTATTCATTGTAAGTTTTTTAAAATGGTTCGTAATTTGCTCAGGATTGTTAATATTCAGTGCATCGTGAACGTCGGTAGAAAGACTTGTTTCAGTTTTCAGGAGTTTGTGACCAATTCCTTAAAAATGGCAGGAGCTAAGAACTTCGGCCCAAAAAAGTTATTAAAGACATTATAGTTTTTAACATTGCTCAATTCTACCAAAATTTGGAAGCTGATAACCATGTTTCTTATGAATATTAGATGACGAAGACTTACCTTCGTGAAATCTAACATTTTTTATTGTCATGTATGTTTAATGATTTAAATTCTGTTGTTGCTTAAAGAATGTATAATCGTGACAAGTAGAATGGTTTAGATTTTATTGTTTCTAAAGTAAAACATGGGAATGTGGAAAACAGAGAGACTACAATGTAACTGTTACTAGTTGTTATGTCTGTCTGGATATTAATCTAATGATGTTCAGTAAAACAGTTGAAAACAGAGAGACTACGATGTGACTGTTACTTGTTGTTATGTCTGTCTCGACATTAATCTAATGATGTTCAGTAAAACAGTTGAAAACAGAGAGACTACGATGTGACTGTTACTAGTTGTTATGTCTGTCTGGACATTAATCTAATGAGGTTCAGTAAAACAGTTGAAAACAGAGAGACTATGATCTGACTGTTACTAGTTGTTATGTCTGTCTGGACATTAATGAGGTTCAGTAAAATAGTTGAAAACAGAGAGACTATGATGTGACTGTTACTAGTTGTTATATCTGTCTGGACATTAATCTAATGAGGTTCAGTAAAATAGTTGAAAACAGAGAGACTACGATGTGACTGTTACTAGTTGTTATGTCTGTCTGGACATTAATCTAATGATGTTCAGTAAAACAGTTTAAAACAGAGAGACTACGATGTGACTGTTACTAGTTGTTATGTGTCTGGACATTAATCTAATGATGTTCAGTAAAACAGTTGAAAACAGAGAGACTACGATGTGACTGTTACTAGTTGTTATGTCTGTCTGGACATTAATCTGATGAGGTTCAGTAAAACATTTGAAAACGGAGAGACTACGATGTGACTGTTACTAGTTGTTATATCTGCCTAGACATTAATCTAATGACGTTCAGTAAAACAGTTGAAAACAGAGAGACTACGATGTGACTGTTACTAGCTGTTATATCTGTCTGAACATTAATCTAATGATGTTCAGTAAAACAGAATGAAGTTTTAAAACAGTTAAACATTGAAGAACAGATGCTTCACCAGTTTCAAATGTGATTTAACACAGATGAAAATGCCTGGGATCAAGAATAGCACAAGCTTGAAAATATTACTGCACAGAAAAGGTGATGTGAAATAGGAGTATAAATTTTAATGCACAGAAAAGGTGATGTCAAATAGGAGTTTTGAATGAAAAAAATTATCTTTTATTTTCTGTTACTTTTTGTTCAGAGATTGAGAGACAGTAGAAATGTTTGTGTTTATAAGGTACTTATCATATTTTTTCTTTGCTTGAATACTGAAAGACGGGTTAGCTATGAGTTGCTACTTTCTAGTTTTCCTGTAACTAAACAACAACAGATATGGAAGATGCCCATACACATCTACTGTCCTTGCCAGAAGACCACGGTGCTTCTTTCTTTGCTGTCTACGATGGCCATGGAGGAGCGAAGGTCGCTCAGTATGCAGGATCTCATCTTCACAAGAAGATTGTTGGTCATCCCTTATACAGTAAGTTTGATAACTGGTGTCCCAGTAAGAATTTTTAATGTTTAAGAATAAAGATAACTTACATAAAAATGAAGGAGCCTTAAGTTTCTGATGGGTTCTGGTTTGATATAAGGGAGAGGAACTAAAAAGGGGGAAATATTTTCCAAACATTAACAACTTTTACACATGGTATAATATCTTAGTTATTAACATTGAATAAATAATGAGAATTTTTCTGTAGTGTTAAAAGATGGTACGACTTCTTCTGGGGATCTCAAATTATGATATTTTTTATGACATTAATGACATTTTTAGTACAGTTTCTCTATGTATATATGCGTGAGTTTAGTTAAGTATCTAAATATGATATAATATTAAGATAATATTAATTGTACGAGATACCATCAAGTACACTAATAGCTGTATTTACTTTTCCAGTTATCAGTTAGGTAGGGATAGTTTGTTATTAGGGTCTCGATGTTTTAATGCTTGTTGACAACTTCTTGAAGACTTGAAAGCACTAATCAAGATTTTCAGAACATACAACTAAGTGAGCACCATTGCTGTGTAAGAAAACAATGTTTTAGAATGGTTTATATTTTACTAAAATAAAAACTGATGTAGTGTTCTACGTATGAAATTTTAGTGGTTGTAGGAAAACTGTATCTCGGTACATTCAATTATAGCTCTTAGAACATTTCAAAAGAAACCTGTGTTGTGTGCAGGTTTAAGAATTATGTAAATTTTGATTTATCTGCAACTCATGAATATTTTTCAATCAATGTTTGTAAATATTACATTAAAATCCTTTTCGTCTCTTAAGAAAAAGGTAATATTGAGGAAGCAATCAGGCAAGGATTCTTAGCAGTGGACACTGACATGTTAGAAGGTAAGACAGATTTGTTACTGATGTTTGTGTTGATGTGTCCAATCAGGAAGGATTCTTAGCAGTGGACACTGACATGTTAGAAGGTAAGACAGATTTGTTACTGATGTTTGTGTTGATGTGTTCAATCAGGCAAGGATTCTTAGCAGTGGACACTGACATGTTAGTAGGTAAGACAGATTTGTTACTGATGGTTGTGTTGATGTGTTCAATCAGGTAAGGATTCTTAGCAGTGGACACTGACATGTTAGAAGGTAAGACAGATTTGTTACTGATGTTTGTGTTGACGCGTCCAATCAGGCAAGGTAAGAAGCCTGATTTGTTAACATTGGGTGGACTTGTTAGAAGGTAAGAAGCCAGATTTGTTAACATTGGGTGGATATGTTGGAAGGTAAGAAGTCTGATTTGTTAACATTGGGTGGACGTGTTGGAAAGTAAGAAGTGTGATTTGTTAACATTGAGTGAACATGTGTGAAGGTAAGAAGTGTGATTTGTTAACATTGAGTGAACATGTGTGAAGGTAAGATGCCTGATTTGTTAACATTGAGTGAACATGTGTGAAGGTAAGAAGTGTGATTTGTTAACATTGAGTGAACATGTGTGAAGGTAAGATGCCTGATTTGTTAACATTGGGTGGACATGTTAGAAGGTAAGAAGCCTGATTTGTTAACATTGGGGGGACATGTTGGAAGGTAAGAAGCCTGATTTGTTAACATTGGGTGTACGTGTTGGAAGGTAAGAAGTCTGATTTGTTAACATTGGGTGGACGTGTTGGAAGGTAAGAAGTGTGATTTGTTAACATTGGGTGGACGTGTTGAAAGGTAAGAAGCTTGATTTGTTAACATTGGGTGGATGTGTTAGAAGGTAAGAAGTCTGATTTGTTAACATTGCGTTGATGTATAAGGACTGATTTATTAATTTGTTGATTTTAATTTTAACAGAAAGATTGAAATTTTATTAATGAAATGTTTGTGGTGACATTTTAAAGAAAAATTTTGAAACTGAAAGTTGCCAAATTATAGCTAACATTTGATATAAGTTTGCATATACTCATAATTCTGTAAGAAACGTGACCCAAACCCCCATTTTGTATTCTCAGGAATTAGATGTGGGAAAGTGAGAAATGCAGTCTTTGTAGCACATTATCGTTATATCTGAACTAAATAAATACTAAATACAGTTGAGAGACAAGTCTGTGCTCCATAGTTACGAGTTGAACTTTCAAAATGATGTTTGGTAAGACTAAGACCAAAGTTGAATGTAATCTGAGATAGTACTTGAGATAAAGTCTGTTGGTCGTGCTAAGTAACACTGGGACTGTCAAGGAAAGAAGGCATTGTATCTGTAATACTTTGCTGGACCATTGTTTGCAAGCGATGTGTGACACCTCAAATGCTGTATTAAAAGTTTTAGTGCTAACATTCAGTTAGTTAACAACTGCACTGTCTTAATGTCTGTTAAAACTATATACATTTATTATAGACTGTTGTTAGAATGCTATTGTCAGGTTATAGTATTTTCATCATGCAAAAAGAAAGCATTTTGATAAATCAATCTTAACGTCATGTCAGTATGTTTTATAATCGAAGACGTTCTCAAGGTTCAAGTACACGTCACTGTTGAAGTGTTGACAACAATTAACTTTGTTGACAAAATCATACAATATTGAAAACATTGCTGGGTTTGGAAACTCTAGCACTAGGGGAAGGAAAAAGATCTTTACATGCACCTTTAAAAACTTCCTGAAACATTTCAAGCAAATGGCCTAATGTACTTCGTCAGGTTTAGCCATGAAACACACAGTTTTAGCT